CAATTAACAAACCGAGACGTAACAATATTATGATTACCAATATTGTTGAAAACTTTTCTTTTATAAACCAATACGTATAATATTAAAAACAATGTAATTATAGATCTATATAGGGTATTTTTGAAATTTTAGGACACTGCGCGTAGACCGAAATACCTCAGCAAAAAAAAAGGTATGAAAAAATAAACTCATAATTGTAATGAATTAAGTTGTAGTTACCAATATAACAATGATTTCTTCGACAAATATAATGTTCACGTTTCTCATAATATGTTTAAAAGGAAATTTTCAAATGCCTACATTATCCATTTTGAAAATAACACCTATATATAGCGATCAAAATGATCAAAGGCCTGACGTTTACTTTCGCAAAGCTCAAATTAATAAGCAAGAAAACACGTGACTCTGGTACAACTTCATGATATTCTAGAAAGATCGGGGAACATCACGAATGATCCAGTGTGTGCTAGGCGCCCTCTATTCCTGTATATAAGTGCGCCGGATAACGTGAGACAAATGAATCGGAATTGAATTGCAGACAGAAAGAGATAAAGACGGACACTTGAGTCAAGCGCGGTAGTAGTGACCGTAAGTAAGTGCGTGAATCATTGTGAATTATAGCGTGTGTTTAAAGTGACTGTGGAAATTAAGTGTATTGCAAAGTTGAATTGAGAAAGAATAAACTAGTTTTATTTGAGAAAGGACTTCTATCTCTGAAGTTCCTCGGGAAGAATTTATACCGGGAAATTAACAAACGAACACAGAGGCGTAACAATATGATTTATAAAGACCCAGATGAATATCCAAACAGAGTTGAAGTTGTAAGAAAAGAGTGGGAAGAAGGGGAAAATATAGAAACATCTGAGAATCACCTAGAAAATACTGATATGGGACCTGAAACGAGGAAACAGGTGAACAGGAAGTAGATGACATAGTACGCAGTTGCCTTTCCAGCTTCAAGTTTAAAGTAAAAAGAAATCCAATGTGGGCATAAGAAAAACAGTTAAAACAAAAGTAAAAAAATTCAACGTAGGTAGACATCATCGAGAATCTGAAATGAAAAAGCCAGCTCAATGTAATAATGCTTTCTGTTTTGGAGAAGACGATTTGAAAAGTAAATCAACTCTAAACGGTATTCCTGGTTTTATTTATTGATTGATTGTTGTTAAACACAAGGCTACACAAAGGGCTATATCGCAGGTATCGAAATCCAATTTTTAGCATTGTAAACCCTCAGACTTAATGCTTAGTCACTGGAGGCAGTTTTGTTATTATTATTTAATTATATACGTTGTGTGAACGGATTAAGAAATTGAACCTACAGAAAATTATTTATAACATATTGTTGCGTCATGGAGATCACGTGACTATTCTCACGCCCTCTACTTTCTAGAACTATCCTGTACTTTGGCGAATGCTCTAGCATTTACTAGATATAGGGCAGTCTGGTATATAAAAGAGGGTGACAACGTGACGGTAATGTAATGTGTATGTAGGTAATGAGTAATTGAACTGCTGTCAGAGAGAGAGACGTATTGTTGAAATTAACGTTCTTTCGTTATAGCGTTTGTTTCAGCGTGATTGTTGAAATTAAGTGTATCATAAAGTTATATTCGGAAAGAATAAACCAGTTTTATTAAGTAAGGACTTGTGTCGCTAAAGTTTCGTCGGAACGAAGTTACGGAAAATTAATTAACAAACGGAGACGTAACAATATATTGTTTTTAACAGTTCGATGAGAAACACATATAACAAGAAGTTGAATTTCGAATTCTTAATAACTTTGTTTACACAAAGTTAAGGGTATTTATTGCCTATATATTCCCAAAAGAAGAATTACAGACAATACCCTTAAAATATTTAGATACTTTGACAAGTTATCTGTGATAAGTTTGAGATAATGATTTGAATATCAGAAGAGAAAGAAGTAAAGGTTTTGAAACCTAAAAATAGACCCTCTTCTCGTTTGGGTTATAAAAATATTTGGGATAATTTTACAGATGAGTTTGTAAACGCGTATATCTTAAATGATTTTTAACGTTTCTTTATGTCATTTTATGAGTAAGGAAATATTCTTTTTTGTACTAGTTGTCATATCTTCACGATGAGTTTTCGTAAGTTCAATAGATTGGACAACATGCTTTTCAAAATATTTAATGTGTTACGACAGCGGAGGTCACGTGACCCTAGTAACACGACATGCGCTTCTCCAACGTTCACGTCCCTTCCTGAAATCTCGAGAGCCTACTAAATTTCGGTATTCTTGTACATATAAGACGGCCAAGACGTGACGGCAATAAAGTGTAATTGAACTGAGGACAGAGAGAGATGTATTGTTGAGTCGAGCACGTGAGACCTTCGTTGTGAATTATAGCGTTTGTTATAGAGTGACTGTGGAAATTAAGTGTATTGCAAAGTTGTATTTAGAAAGAATAAACCAGTTTTATTAAAGAAAGGAATTGTATCGCTAAAGTTTCTTCGGGAAGAAATTATACGGAAAATTAACTAACGAACGGAGGCGTGACAATGTATTAATAAGCTAATTAAGGAGTTACTTAGAGCTGTGTATAGATAAAGTTGAATACATGAATGTTAAAGAAAATAAATGCAAGTTTTATGAATCTAGATATAAACTGGGTCCATCAGCAGTATTTGTATCTTGTGATATCGATCTTTATGTTAAAATAAAATAAGCACAGAAACTTATATAATACAAAATATAAAAATTATATAATTTGTAATTAACATATATACATATTGCTACGACAGCGGGGGTAACGTGACGCTACTAACACGTCATATTCTCGAAGCTTCGTGAATCCTCGGGAAGTTACTAGACTTCGGTATTCTTTTATATGTAAGATGGTCAAGACGTCACGGCAACAATGTAATGCTGTGTAATTGAACTGGGGACGGAGTATTGTTGAGTTGAGCAAGACGTTTTTTGTGAATTATAGCGCTTGTTATAGCGCGACTGTTGAAATTAAGTGTATCGGAAAGTTGTATTCAGAAAGAATAAACCAGTTTTATTTAAGAAAGGACTTGTATCAGTAAAGTTTCTTCGGAAAGAATTTTTACGGAAAATTAACTAACGAACGGAGGCGTAACAATATATATTTCCAGGTTAAATAATTTTCTATCACAATTTAAACATGAATCAGTAATAAAAGTTTTTTTTTTTGTAAAAAAAAAATTCTTCTACATCAGTGTTTCTTATCCTTTTTGGGAAGCCACACCCATTCGATTTACACAATATGTCCTGGCACCCCTTGCTATTCAGGATTTGTTAATATTTCTCTCTTACGTTTAAATATACATCATCTATAACTAATAAAAAGTCAATGTTTCCGTCGGTTACGTCTCCGTTCGCTAGTTAACTTTCCGTAACTTCCTTCCAACGAAACTTTAGCGACACAAGTCCTTACTTAATAAAACTGTGTTGGATCATCGAGATCACGTGACAATTCTCACGCCCTCTTGTTTCTAGAACTATCCCGTATCTTGGCGAATGCTCTAGTA